ACACTCCAGAAATTTTTTGAATTTTGAACTAGACAATTCCATTCGAACTAGAAATAATCTACGAACGATATAGAGAAATTCCTTCTGAAACTTTCGAAATTCTCAGATGGACGATTCTCAGAAATTTTGGAGAATACTGAAACGAGATGATTGAAAAAATATATTTCAACGTATCATAGAAATTCCTTCTAAAACTTTTTAAATTCTGAGATGAACGAATTCTCTTGGTCTGAAGGAAGAGTACTGTAACGAGAGACAGCCGTCGAAAAAATATAATCACAAAAATCACTTCGCGATACTTTTGATGAAACCAACGATTAAAGTTCGCCAGTGCGAGACGACACGATGCTCGATATAGTAATCATAACCGGTCCAGTAATTTTCTAGTTATTTCTGAAGACGATCGCGCTCCCAAGGGATGCTGCGCCAGCTGAGAGAGAGAGAGAGAGAGAGAGAGAGCCAACGAGACGAAACTTTTTTATCCACGCTGACAACTGCGTATCTGTCCGAGAAACTAGAGATCCGCGAGTTTCGTTTCGGCCGGGAAAGAAATCCAATTTAAAGTTCACTTATCAGTCTCGTCCAGGGTTACTTGTATCTTAGCGAACGTTCGACCAACGCCGTTCGATTGATTGGCGTGGCCGATCGGTCTAACCGAACTTCCGGCGGATAAATCAAAGCCAAGCATAAATCGCGGGCGGCTCGATATTGGGGATCTCCCGCTGGAGAGAGGGATGTTTCCTTTTCACGGGACGTTCCTATCTGCGAAAGCACGTGATTCTATCGGGGGTGGTCTCGTCGTGACGCGCCGAGAAATTTATTTGCGCTTCGTTACACGGGGTCCCGGGATCGGCGCGTTACATAAAATAAAATTAACAGTGGAACTACCAAAGTGGTCAAAACGACATATTTATAATTTTCTGTATTTATAACAGTATGTTTTTAGATAAGAATGTTTTAGATAAGTGAGTGATTTTTAATAAAGTATATTAACAGAAGCTTGTGCTCTTTATTAACTTTTATCTCATACCATGCACTTTAATTTCTTTATTATTAATGAATATTATTTTTTTTTCATTTGCGCTTATACGGGATCTAGGAATCGGCGCGTTACATAAAATAAAATTAACACTGGAACTACCAAAGTGGTCAAAACGACCAATTTATAATTTTCTATATTTATAACAGTCTGTTTTTAGATAAGTGAGTGATTTTTAATAAAATATATTAACAGAAGCTTGTGCTCTTTATTAATTTTTTTCTCATACCTTGCACTTTAATTTCTTTATTATTATTGAATGATTATTTTTTTTCATTTGCACTTACACGGGATCGACGTGTTACATAAAATAAAATTAACACTGGAACTACCAAACCGATCAAAACGACATATTTATAATTTTCTATACTTAAAACAGTGTTTTTTTTTTAGATAAGTGAGTGATTTTTAATAAAGTATATTAACAGAAGCTTGTGCTTTTTATTAACTTTTATCTCATAACATGCACTTTAATTTCTTTATTATTAATGAATATTATTTTTTTTCATTTGCACTTACACGAAATCTAAGGATCGACGTGTTACATAAAATAAAATTAACATTGGAACTACCAAAGTGGTCAAAACGACCAATTTATAATTTTCTGTATTTACAACAGTGTGTTTTTAGATAGAAGCTTGTGCTTTTTATTAATTTTTTTCTCATACCTTGCATTTTAATTTCTTTATTATTAACGAATATTATTTTTTTTTTTTAGTCGTTGGTAGTTCCAGTGTTAATTTCACGCGAGTTTCGACAAGAAATTATAAGTGGAGTGTGTGCATACAGAAATGTATAAAATAATACGTGATCAATTTTAATTACGTGCTCATGTTTAATTCGTTATAGTGTTCGTGTTTAATAATTTTTTTAATTATCTCAATTATCGTAAAATCTTGCAGCAATCTGCGAATTACGGAATATTTTGCAAATATTGTACGAAATTTAATTTTGTCCAATGTTTGTTCTGCGAATTTGTAAGAAATTTAATGGGCATCTTCGGATTTTCTATTTTTTAAATTTTTTAAAAGAAAGGTCTCAACGGGTAATTGAAATTTGCAATTCAAATTCGACTAGTATTCAAATACAGTGCGATATAACATTCAAATATGATGTAGCATTCAAATGTAATTAAAATTAAAAAAGAAAAGTGTTTTCCTGACGCCGGAAGTCCAAATAAAAGTTTAATTCATCAGTTAATTATTTAACTGATATTGTATTACGCGAATATTGTATTATCTTTAATTTTCCATAAATGTATAAAATCTAAGACTTTAGTATTATCTTATACCACGTTTTTAAAAAAAAATTCCGTTCGAACTTACATATTTTGTATAAAAGAAAAAAAAAGAAAAAAAAAAAGAAAAAGAATCTTTTCATACAAAAAAGTGAGCAGCATTCTCCCGTAGAACAGATATTTTCGATAATCCGTGTGATAAAAGTTGGAAACAAATTATTTCAGAACGTTTAACTGAAAATCCATTTTTACATTCGAGCACTGTTCATTGAGCATTTGCTACAAACACCGAGACCTCTTTCATTTATCGATGAACAAGTTACTTGTTGCTCCTGACAGAAGAATTTTTAACAATTTTTAACAATTTATTATACAAGTTCCATTCTGAAACTTCTATTTTCAAGAAAGCTTGTACATTTATTCCCATCGGTTCTCTCTCTCTCTCTCTCTCTCTCTATCTCTTTCGTAATTTAAAAATATTTTCTCGAAAAAGTTCCACGATCCACGCTTCAAATGAAGCCTGTTTAAAGATTCCTGAACTTTCTCGATTCCTGTTCGAATATTTACCGACGATAGTTTATATCATCCACTTCCGCCAACGGTATCCGATTCCCCTCTGGATATTTTTATATAAAGTGGAAACACTTGATGCTTTCGTTAGAAGTTGAAACTATAAAAGTCGTAGGGAACAATCTTGGGAGGGGGAGAGGGGGTGAAGCAGAGCCGAAGGAGAAGAGGAATGAGATTTATAAGTTGAAACTTCCTTGAAACGAGTTTACGGAAGTTTTCATCGTCGAATAAAAATTACGAAGTTAAATTACGAGTTTCGCCGAGCGAGCGCGACAGAGGTAAAAAGCAAAAAACAAAAAAAGAAAAAAAAAATGGAAGAAAAAAGAATCTCGTATACATGTGTGAACAATCGTAAAAATTCACCGCGCGACTCCATACGACGCGAGTAATTTTGTGTGCAACAGGGCTTCCTGGGTACTCGGTGTTACGAGAGTTTCGATGTTTCGCTCTCATCAGAGAGAATTACCCCGCGGAAATTCCTCTAGAAACTTCGCGGAGTGGATAATCGCTTTTTCAACCATACATATTATATTCCTCGGAAAGATAACATTTCCGTTGTGTTGAATAATATTTTACGTAAGATTTCACGCGTGCAGCGTCGCGCAAGTTCGTCGTACACTTGCCGCATTTGCGTATCACGGTATAGCGATCTTTTATTTTATAAAGGTCAAATTTATTAAAAGAAATTTCATATTACTCGGACAGGTGACTAGAATTCTGAAAGAAATCAAATAATTTCAATAATCTTCGTCCGTCGCAAAATCACTGTCGTAACAATTGGAAAAAAGAAGAATCTCAATAGAAATTTGAACAGAATTAAAGTTAGAACTAAAGTTAGAACTTTAGTCAGAGAAAATTTATTCTAAAATTCCACGAATCTCAATAGAAATTTGAACAGAATTAAAGTTAGAATTAAAGTTAGAACTTTAGTCGGAGAAAATTTATTCTAAAATCTATTCCACGAAAACAGCAAAAAAAAATTTGAAATCCCGCGATAATGAAAATAAATTCTTTTGAAAAAAATTCTAGATCCTACTTAACTGAATGCTAACCACTTGCACTGATAACTGATTGCGGACCATAACGAGTGACCGAACCGTATACGATAATTCGTTGCTTTTTTTTCCTTTGAACTCGTCGGTACGATATCACTGGATAGAAATTATTGCTTGGGTTATACTTAAATATACTGAAAACTGAGCAAATATTACAATTTTGGAGGTTAACCGCTTGGCAACTGATTGCGGACCGTAACGAGTGACCGAGCGGATATAAACGATAATTCGTCGCTTACTTTTTCTTTTGAGCTCGTCGGCGTGACGTCGCTGGAGAGAAATTATTGAGAAGTAATAAATTTGTTATTTGTTTTGCCTGGGTTATACTTAAAAATATACAATTTACAATTTTGGAGGTTAATCACTTGGCAACCGATTGCGGACCATAACGAGTGACCGAACCGTATCCAATAATTTGTCGCTTTCTTTATCTTTTTGGAACTCGTTTTCTTTTTGGATAGAAATTACTGAGAAGTAATAAATTTATTATTTGTTTTGCCTGGGTTATACTTAAATATACTGAAAACTGAGAAAATATTACAATTTTGGATAGAAATTACTGAGAAGTAATAAATTTATTTGTTTTGCCTGGGTTATACTTAAATATACTGAAAATTGAGAAAATATTACAATTTTGGAGGTTAACCACTTGGCAACCGATTGCGGACCATAACGAGTGACCGAACCGTATACAATAATTTGTCACTTTCTTTATCTTTTAAACTCGTCGGTATGATATCACTGGATAGAAATTATTGAGATGTAATAAATTTATTATTTGTTTTGCCTATTTTGTTTTACCTAAATGTACTTAAAACTGAGAAACTGAGAAAATATTGCAATTTTGGGACAAAGAAATTCTCGCACTCCAGCGCAAGAGGTTGTAGAAAACAACATCAATTCTACAGCATTTACGAGCAGCTAATACGAACAATGATATATACGTTTCAATAACGGTAATGGCGAGGAGTTCCAGCACGGGGCAAAGGATAAAGCCGGTTCTTATCCTTCTTTCTTGTTCGTTAGGCCCCGGGGCTCTGCCTCTACTTACCATAGCGGGTAGAAAGAAATTCGTTGAATTTCGCGTTGTAACACCTACCTGGATAAAGGAACAGCCTGGATCCGATGACAGCCAAGGGCCGCCTCTTCCACTGCGGGAAAACCAACCCCTTCAACACGAGCGCGTATCCGCAACGGCTGTATCCAACGAGCTCCGGCAACGGGGATGCGGGTCCTGCAAGAAAAACCCATAAAGAAAACACGTTAGCGCACACTGTGTCTCTAATCGACGTGAAGAGGGATACGAACGATTGTCGTAGGGTGTTAGGTTCGTTTAGTATCGCGAACTTGCTTTTTATTTAATGTCGTTACTAGACTAGAAATTGTGGATTTTTCTGCATTTTATTATGGGTGCGGAAATACAGACACAGCGCGTGAATTATGATTACGCGGAAGAAAGGATTTTTTATTTTTTTAATTAAGTTCGTGAATATTTGAAGGCACATGAAAACCTGAAAGCAACATGATGAAATAATTTGCGGGAAATTTGAAGAATGGAAGAATGCAGCGAGGCACGTAACGTACGAAGATATGTAAAATTAATATATAAAGGTATAACAACATGTAGAGGAAAGAAAACTTCTCGGTTTTTTAATTACGTTTGTGAAAATTTTTGCAAACGCACGGACATCCATCGCGGTTTAATCATTACCGTGGAGATATGAATTTAATTTAAAAACGATTACTATGATGAGACAATTTGTAAATCAACAAATAATTGAATGAACGGAATAAACAGTGTAAATAATAAATTGATGGAAAGTTTATTACGAGAAAGAACGAAGAGAACAATATTTAATGAAGCTTATAATCCAAATGAAAGAAGTTATATATTTACAAGATTTATATTAAATGTACTTTCCGACCAAGTGAACGATCAATTATTAATTTCCTGAAGTATATCCACGGGCATAATTACGCAACAGCGATTGCGAAATTATTATTCCGCTATTTATTTGTAATTGCGCTGGTGTATCTAGACTGGCGAAATTTAAATGATAAAACGACAGCGAATATAAAACTGGCGGAGAACTGGGTCAGCGGCTGTCAACTGTTCCGAAATTACCATAAACTAAAATTCCGTCTCCAATTAAATTAAACGTCGTGTTTCGTTTAATTCAATCGATGCTCCGATCGTAAATATTAAATAAACGGGAGACAGCGTGACGAGAAAAAAGAAAAAAAAAACTCGATGAAAAAGATTTAAATAGTTAAATTTCGAAATGAATTTTGAATGAAACTGGGGCAGTCGAACAACTCTATTTCGTAGAAATAGATACGATTGATACGAACTCGGCGAATGTAATTAGCAACCAGCGGATATTTAATGGTCGCGAAATGGAGAACTCAGTAGTAATGAAATTTGTAATTAGACGAGTGAATAATATAGTTAACAAAATTTATAGACCGCGGATTTTTAAATATTGCACAAAAGTACACAAAAGTACACAAGATGCGTACGATTTACAACAATATATCTATAAAATATGAAATATGTATAGATATTTGAATTATATTGACTATATTGAATATTGACAAATTAGAAATTTATTCATCTTTAAATATAAATATAAATATAAATATAAATATAAATATAAATATAAATATAAATATAAATATAAATATAAATATAAATATAANATAAATCTGTATATAACAAGACATATATACAGATATTTAAAAATGAACGCATTTCTAATTTGTTAATATCCATATATAGTTTAAATATCTGTATATTTTATATTTTATATTTTATATTTTAGATCTATATATCTATATATTTTATTCTATATTTTATATCTATATATCTATATATGTTATTCTATATTATATATTTTTATATTTTATATTTTATATTTTATATGTTATATTTTGTATTTTATATTTTATATTTTATACCTATATATCTACATATTTTATATTTTATATCTATATATCTATATATTTTCTATATTTTATATCTATATATCTATATATTTTATTCTATATTATATATTTTTATATTTTACATTTTATATCTATATATTTTATATTTTGTATTTTATATTTTATATTTTGTATTTTATATCTATATATCTATATATTTTATATTTTATATCTATATATCTATATATCTATATATTTTATATTTTATATTTTATATTTTATATTTTATATTTTATATTTTATATTTTATATTTTATATTTCATATCTATATATTATACAGATAAATTTCTGTATATTGTACGTGTCCTGTGTATTTTTGTATCCACTATGCAAATGCAATTCATATATATATATTATATATAAATATTCAAAACATAAAATATAAAATATAACAAATGTAGCAGCATTTAATTTTCGGCTTGCATATAAAGCTGCAATCCGGCGGTCGGACAGAGTTAGCAAAATTTGCAATCGAATTCAATTCGAATCCTTTAATTCTCTTACAAATATGTAAAACGTTGGAAACGCGTTGCCTGTACACAGGTGTTGTGCTGCTACCACCACGTTCGCGTGTTGTCATGCATCTCGTGCAATTTCCACGCCCTGGAATTTCCCATATCCGCGAACGCATAAAAATCCGCGGCCAGAATAATTAGTATGCGGCACCTTTCGATGGACGCGGTTATTCCGCGCGAGCAACGTGGAAAAATACGATCTCCGGTCCACCGTTTCTCTCACTCTTAAGTTTCATTCGCGGTGGAAGCTGCCGGCACGGCACGGATTTCGAATTCATGAAATTGTAATTTCTTTGCGCGGGCGAAATATTATGTACGCGGAGAAATTGCCGCGAACTGGCACAGAGGTGAGTCGAAACCGGGAGTTTTAATACGCCTTTGCGTAGAAAATTAATACCGACGCTAATAAGGAGTAACTGACCTCTCGCTTTGTGGAGGATTAAATTCGAATTGACAGAATCGATGGGAAGGTGGAGGATAATCCATTGGACGTTGGAGGGGACGAGGTCTTAATTCCAGGAGAGTTCAACCGTTTGAACGTTTAGTCAGTGTTAGAACGTTGTGTGGATGGTCTTACAATCGGTAACAGAATAATTGGTTTAGTTGTTGGGGATTTGACAAGGTGGTTTAACGAGTTACAACAGTACGTTTAAACGTATGTAAATTCTTAATTTATACTGAATATTATTAAATTACAATGTTATTTAATTATATTGATAATATAATAATAATATTGAATAATGTTGAATAATATTCAATTACGTACAATTTATCTTTTGTGTAGAATATTATTTAATTTTACTGAATAATATTGAATAATGTAGAATATTGAATAAAAAGAATATCAAAAATATGCTTGAAAATGACATTCTTAATTAAATATTCTTCATTATTATTCAGAAATTCAGAAAGAGTAATATACTACAATATTATATTAAATAATAATGCTTAAAGATACATGCATTCTTAATTTGTCACATAATCTGTTTCTATTAGAGATTCAATATATTATAATACATAGTTACACAGTATATATTAAAAGTTATAAGATTAAAGATGAATATATTTCTAATTTGTTGTATGCCCTTCCTTATTAGAAGTTCAAAAAGAATAGAATATTACAATATATTGAATAATATATATGTTCAAAGATGAATGAATTCTTAATTTGTCTTATATTCTTCTTTATTAGAGGTTTAAAAAGAATAGTGTATTACATTATATTGAATAATATACACATTTAAAGATGAATGGATTCTTAGTTTGTCACATGTCATATATTTTTTATTAAAGGTTCAAAAAGGATAACTTATTACAATATATTGAATAAGTTTATTCAAAAGTTATATATTTAAACAGGAATATCCTCTTAATTCGTTAAATGCTCTTCTCTTAAGTGTTGGAAATTCAAAAAGGTAGTACAATAAAAGTAATACAATATATATTGAAATAAATATATCAAAATGTTCTAATTTGTTGAACGCTGTTCGTTCGGTATCAACTTTTTAGATTTTTGTTAATTGAAACACTGAAAAGGTTTGATGGAAAATGTAATAATACGTTTTCGAATTTGCTTCTCCAGTTTGTAATTTTAGCACTTCACTTTATTTTCACTTCAATTTCATTTCATCACTTTTGTTCCAATTTATAGCTTTAATAGAGTAACGTACACGTTTCGTATTTATTTACTCTCCAATCTGTAATTTCAATATTTCACTCTGTTTTCACTTCATCCTCCCCGTTTTATAATTTCTAGCTTCGTTTTATAACTTGCGTAGAGTTTAATATTTACTTTATATTTCGATTTAAACGGGACAGGTCCATTGAAACACACAAAACTTTTAATCATACAAGAGAACGAATAAATGCTACTAATATATGTTATAATTTATGTAATTATATATATTACATTTATGTAACAATTTACATGATAAAATAATTTATTATATACATATATTATAATTATATTAAAAATAAAATGAGAAAAGAATTATACCAGATTATTAAAAATTATTAAATAATAATAAATATACACATATATTAAAAATAATTTATTATATATAAATTATATTTATGTAGTATTTTATATAATTTATATAATTATATATATTATATTTATATAATAACTTACATAATAAAATAATTTATTATATACATATATTAATAAAATTAAATGAGAAAAGAATGCAAAAGAATTATACCAGATTGTTAAAAATTATTAAATAATAATAAACATACACATATATTAAAAATAATTTATTATATATATATATATTATATTTATATATTAATTTACATAATAAAATAACTCATTATATATATTACAATTATATTAAAAATAAAATGAGAAAAAAATGTAAAAGAATCACCAGATTACTCATCATTCAAGATGCAAATTACATATATTTGAAGGGTCGAGGCGGGAAAGAAATTTAAGAAAATTCCTTCAACGAGCGAAACTGTCCTGGAATCAGGTCTCTGTTTTCAAACAGCGTCCGGGAAACGACGGCAGTTAGAGATGTCGAATTAAATGAAAATTAGAAACGGTTAAGCACGTGGTCGATGGGTGCACACGTGACATCAGTATGCATCCTCCCCCCCCCCCCCCCCCCCCCCCCCCCCCCCCCCCCCCCCCCCCCCCCCCCCCCCCCCCCGTTAACATAGTTTCATCGGTTAGAATTCACTTTCGATGTTACCGAAATTCATCGTTAAGTAACGCTTCATGGTGCAAAG